AATTTATTGTAGTCCAAATGATTGATCAAAATACATATCTATTAGCTTTAACCAACATTGATTCTCCACCGGATTGATGATATGTAATAAAAATGTGATGATGCATACATCATACTGTGGTTGTAGCAGTTATATAATAATGATAACAATAATCTCGGATATAATATATTTGTATTGTAGCGACAGACGAGTGGTTTAAATTTTAGATAAAAATAATATCACGTCTTTCATAAATCTATCAAAGCGTGTTACTCGAACTTTTCCATTATCCGTTTCCCACGCCGCATTGAGTACATCTAATATGGATACAATATCATATGTATCGGCGGACTCCCCGCATAGCCTTTGCCAATCTTGGCAAAATCTCAAAAAATAATAATAAAAAAGAAAAAGAAAAATCCGTTTGCAGTAAACTCTGATTCGTATCTTGTATTTTGTTCCGTCGTCCTAACTACGGCGTGTGAGTACTGCGTAGATTTTGGTTGTCGATCGCCCGACCAATATAATAATAGTACCTTCATGTTATAAAAGAAAGATTATTTTAACGATAAACGAACATCATCCCTGGAAATATTAACTTGGTTTAAACATCTTTCTGCAAAAAATATTCACTCTTGGAATATTAAATTAATCAGATATGTACGACGCTGTTGAAATAACTAAGACATTTAAAAATTATAACGATACAAACAAATACATATAAAATATGAGATTTTAATAAATTTAAAAACAAACTAATGCTATCGGAATTAAGCTGTCCCGTGGTATAGTATAATATACATCACACTATTTATTAGTATTAAAATTATCAGCAATTTGATAGTAAGGTTTTCAAATAATTTATCGTTAAAATATTAAATAAAAAGCACAAACGAAATATTATGATGTTATACTTGTTATAGTATACTAAATATTACAAATTATCATGTCATATTTTTAAAAAAACCCGAATTGAACGCGTGCCGACGAGTCTAGACGAAATTCATTTCGATTACACTTTGTGTTGACAGTTCTATATACACAAAAACTCGTGTCTTTTCCTGGGAAACACGCATCGCGTATCGATACCCTTATAATAATATAATATATAGTTAGATACTGAGATCTAATAACTGGGTAGGAAAGTAAATATTTGTTGAGAATTTGATGACGTGTCGGTAAAACGTCATTTCAACCCACCGGTGTCGGACCTTTCGTTTTTAAAAAGGTTGCACACACACGACGTCACGACGGCTGTCGTATACTGACGAGTGACGACGAAACCAAACAGAAGAATCACGTTATTTTACGCTTATTTTGAGGAATAAGTTAGCCACTTATTGAAATGTTGATTTTAATTTTTAATAAAATTGTTTCAAGAACACAAAGCATATTTATCGCATTGATCCCTATCATGCAGTCGTTTACCTTTTCCAAAGTCGCTGTTAATCAATACAATAACATTGTGTTTTTGTTTTATTTCTTTTTGCTTCAGGTAGTAGTTAATCTGTAATTAAAAGACTCGTGTCGGAATAACATAATAAATGTTATAATGTCGCAATAAGTCACGAGTAATTGTGTTATTAAAATCATATTATTTAGGTTAGGCCCACCGTCACACTATTATGTATTATTTTTTATCTTCATATTTTCTATCAGATGCAAGACGCAAGGGTAGTTGGGACGTTCTTCTTTTGCGTTCTTTAGTCATATATTTTTTTTATATAATCGGTATTGTGTTTTATATGAAAAATGTGGTGTTTATAACTTTAATTAGTATACGTAAAATAATAAACATTCAGAATTAAATAACTGTTTTAACTCTAAAGGTACTATTGCACTGTCACAGTATTTCGTTTAACTATGTTGTTTGTGTTCAGAATATTCTTGTTATTCATCAAATTAAATAATATTGTTTATGTAATTTGATTTCACTAGTCATTAAACAACACATTTAAAGAACAACCTAAATCCTAGTGGATTAATTGAATATTTTCAACTATTTAGTATATTATGGAAACGTGTTACGGGTATACCATAGTTTACACGGAATACGGAAACAGTGTAATAGAACTTTAAATTAGGTAATATTGTAATAATATATCCATTATACAAAAACGTGTTGTCAAATTATTAAATACAATAAACAAATAATGACAGTTATGACTATTGAAACAAAATAGACGTAAATAATATTTTTTTTCCGACTACATTTTTATATCAGAATTTTATCATTCACTAGCTGCCCGATCTTCCTCCGGAAGAAATTATTTTTTTATAATTTAATTAAAAAACATAAGACTATTTTTTGGCTATACAAATAATACAACGATTATAAAATCGTCTCCAAAATCAAGTTACATTCTTATATATATATAGATTACAAAATTGATGTAAAGAGGCTTTAGATAACAGCAGTTGGCTAAGAGCTGGTTACAAAAAAGAACGATATAAAAAAATAAAGAAAATATCAGAGAAAGAAGCAATATAAGAAAACGCGAAGAGTATCACAACAAAAATTAGAGAAAGAACAAAACGAGCTATAATATTTAGATATCAGTGATATGATAGAAAGTTGGCAAGTGAAGCTAGCAGGAGGCAAAGTTCTTACAAAAAAAATATTACCATTGAGACAAAGGTTTTTTATAATTAAGTAGGTTTTTTTTAATAATATTGTATTGCATTTTATAAGTATGACATGAAGTACTTGATAACATTTAAAAATAATAATTGGTCTAAAGTGTTATGGTACAGAATGTTTGATTGTATAAAATAATATATTGGGGGACGAGGTGACCGAGTGGTCTGACGCGTCCGCTGCGACGCAGCCGGTCGCGGTTCGATCTTCGGCCACCGGGCAGCATTTTTCTCCGGACAAGTCGTGGTGACCGGAGAACAAGTGCTGCCATCCCCTACCCCCGGGGCATGGTAGAAACCTACGGGTGCCCCATTCGAAATTCTGCCAAATCAAACACACACGTGTTCCCCCCTACCGTCCCAAAAACCTACAATACAAACCTATGCAACACAAACCTACAATACCTACTCTACAGCTAATGGCCACAGTTGCCGGGCTCAAGATCAATAAAAAAAAAAAAATGTATTATATTTAAAACATTTAACTTGATACTGAAATATTATTATGTCACAGTGGTAATTGGTAATTTTAGGAAATATGTTTATAAAGTATAATGTAATATCTTCATTTGGACAACATTTCAAAGAAGTAGCAAACATTTTTTTAAAAAATTATGCCTTGGACCATAAAGTCTTTATTCTTTAATGTGTATTATATTATTATGACAATGTTATATTATTAACTTTATCAGGTCTAAAAGCTACATATGCTGTAATGTAGCGAAATTGCCTACATGCTGCGCCGGCTAACATATTTAAAATCATCACTTAATAACTAAAAGGACGTTTCTAATTATTGAAAATTCATAACTAAGGACTGTTTTTTCTCCATAGTAAATCGTACACCATAGCTTACACGATTTTATATGCGTGCAGCAGACTATAAATGCGCTGTAGTTAAAAAATCAAATTAATATTCTATAATATCACGTGACTTAAAATGTATTTATTCAAAACATTAACGATAATGTAAAATATATCTTGTACCTATATATAATTACGTTGTTTGAAAATGTCATAAATTAAAACACTTCAATCATTTCCTTTTTAATTGATTTACTGGTAATTGCTAGTGTGCATTTTTAGTGCATAATATTCAATATTAATAATTGAAAAATTATAATTATTTATATGTTGTTATAATAATATTGTATTTTTCAATACAGCATTTATACTTTTTTACTTTAATTATCTTACGTAAATTACTAATAATATAATATTTAAATATACAGTGTGTCTATTTTTATAATATGTACTAATATATGTCTCCGCCAAATTACCTTAGATTGAAATTTGGTTTGTTGTAATAGTTGTAATACTATCTAGTTAATGAATGGTGAAATACACATTTTAGAAATTTTTTGCAATTTTTTTGATGACATGAAATTTTTTGAATACTGTCCTCACTAGTGTTTTGTTTTTATTACCTATGTACAGTTTTTCTAAATATTTTAGTTAATTTTGATTCATGAATATACAATAATATGATGCACATTAACTTAAAAATAAACTAAATATAGCAATTGTAAATATAAAAAAAACTATTGCACAATTTTAGTTGAAAGGGGATTATAATATATAAAGAATAAGATATGTTTTTTTTTTTGTAAAAAGTATCCAAATCGATGAAAATAGTTATTTTTAGATGTAAAAGTTTTTTTTGAAAAGTAATAGAAAGGGATTTAATTTCATACTTTGAATATCTATTTATTGGAAATTGTTGTGTTCATCATTGGTAAAAATAAGCTTTGCTAAAAAAAAAAATAAGGTGTAAGAAATTCCAGCATTTTCGATTTTTTTGAATTTTCCCAAAATACGAGTTTTAATTTATAATTAACAATATTACCATTACTGATAGTAGAGCCGTCATATTTCTGAAGTATTTATTATTGTGATGATACATTTATAATGAAACACTGTACATATTAAAGGAAATGATTGATTGTACTTTTTTAATTTTTTAGTACCTATATACATTATGATATAATAATTTGTTAATTAGTATATATCTGGCAGCTGCCAAAATTTTACCAAAATATAAATTATTTTCTATATCATATCATATTTTGAATACTATTATGTTTGTTCTAATAACATAATAATCTTGAAACAATTAAATATTACTAGAATTTAAATGATACTATTGCAACTTACCTACTGTTATTAGAAGGCATCGCGTTATTCGTTTTGTTTAATTTACAACAATATATTGTAAGTCGGTCTTTACCATATATTAAGTATACCACAGCATAATACTAATATTTTATAATGCACTACACCATATTGCACAAGATCTTTGTGGGAGATACTAAATGATAATCTCCCACGATGGTCGTTTTCATGAACAAACACACTGTGACGATTGCATCGATTTGTTTCAGCAGTAGTATGTACGGAGACGTCAACATATCGGCCATACTCGATTCATTCAGCGGCAGTTACGACAAAAGAGTAAGACCGAATTACGGAGGTGAGTCGATATTTTTTTATTATAAAATATATCCATAAAATAATAAAATTATTACTATATTTTATCATAATAATCATTATAAAAACATGTACTTCGTGTATTATATTTTATAATTATTAAAAATCTCATAAATATATTTATACAACAATAAATTACTGTTGGATAATATCGGTAATGATTGTACAACCATCGTTTAAAATGCTCGACTTCAGGGTACTATATTATGATATCATAATATCGGTACCCAATTATGATATACAAGAGCATTATCATTATAACTAGGTGTTGTATTGTACATTTAATATATAATGTTAATAAAAATATTCGTGAATATGATATTTCCTTATCTATCTATTGATGATAACAGATCTATTATTCTGTAGAATCTTGGACGTAAATTTTTTTTGACGCAAGGCATTATATACTGCTCTCTCGGTAAATCGTTAAATCAGTTAATTATATTTTTATTTTTTTTATAATCATAATATTTAATGTTAGTACCTATTATATTCTCATATCCTACATCCTCAATTGCTTTCATAACTCTAGTTGTATTTCAATGATGGACTATTCCAATTTTATTACTATAAACATTTACATATTATGGTTAATAATTATTAAATTAATTAAGTAAGATATGTTTTTTTCTAAAACTCAAACTGAAACATGTGTGTCTAATAGTACGTCAAAATTAAATTTTCACCTCGTTGTAGTCTTTTTGTACATTTTATGTGACATCACTGAGGAAAAATTTCGGCCTTTCAACCACCTCTTCAAACTCCATTATTTTTTTTATATCTTGAAACCGTATATATATACAGTACAAAACATAATATAAAATATAATATAATAAAATAGTAATACATTTTCTCTATTTTTTTCAATAACTCACTCCAAACGTTTTTTCAATTGTTACTGCTTTGCACATCAAAATTTCATGATATTATTGTAGTATCGTGATACTTCCATTGTACAATTTCGTTTAACGTTTGAATTTAGTGGTTTTATTTATAATTATAATAATTCTCAGATGATATTATTCATATTATTATATAATAAGTATAATTATCAATACTAAGTGATATAAATATAATTCAGTTGTATTATGATCAATTTAAATTCGGATTAAACATACTATTATGTTCAGCACTTCATTATAATAACTTTACTTCTTCGTATATGTGCGACGTGTATATCATAATTGTAATTTAAGTATATATGTTTAAATCTCGAAAAAGTGTATGGAAAAAAACGGTGGTGTTACTATATAAAATACATAAAATGTATAATATGTACATTATACATATTATATATCTATTTATATCGTTGTATGGTTATATATTGTGCTTATAGTAGATATATGCGTTTAAAGTTTAAGCGATCCAAATGTGGAAATGCACACATAGTTATATGCGCACAGACGAAGAAACTGTGTATATATTCTCCTCCACCGCCACTCTTGGAAAATACACGTCTAAACTTTAAACGGATCTCACACTCTCTCTCACTCTCAGCTGTATACGAATTGTGTGTGTATATTGTTATGAGCGTGCCACACGCACTGTTTGTTGTTTAATAATTTATAATATTATATAATCGGTACCTATTAAATACTATGTTAATATTTAGAAAAATTGAATATACCCATCGCATATACGTCACGTCAGCCCGCCTCCCGAAAGTGCTTTGTATACAACAGCTCTTTAGGGATATCTGTACCTACAACCAGAATACGAAAATGTTATTGGTCAAATATGTTTTCAAAAATTAAAAATCGGTGGGCTAATGTGACGTTCGTCATTGTATCAGATAACCTATACGAAATACAGCAAACCGTGTAATGATTTGAATACAATATACATATTGTGCGTGGGTGCGTGAGTGCATGTTGAGGTTTCATGTGGTTTGAACTAATTCCGATCGATCTATACTTTATGTATTATACGGAACCACGGAAAGTTGATAAATAATTAAAATTTAATAATTATGATTATAGAAATATGTATGTAACTTGTTGAAATACGACACATAATTATTTCAATTTTCGTTTTTAATTTTTTTTTGAACATATATGTCCCATATTTTAATGGATAAAAAAAATGTGCCGAACTTCTCGTTTAAAATGCATAAGACAGTCTGCTTGTATGCATACAAGCCAGACGATTTTATATCTCAATAAAGGAACGTTTGTATCATGCTTTATTATCTATTAATCACTGAGTATAAACGGAATGACCGCTCGCCGCCGTCGACGATTTACTTTCAATAAGCACCAACTCTGTGGGTCTCTCATAACGATAGATCACACCCCGCAAAACGGGTAGGTGGATGCACTTCGTTTTAAGCGAAGGTATAAAATCGTCTTACGTTTTATTTATTTTATCGTAAGATATTTTTGTCGCATGCAATTTGGTTTCATCCATTAGGGTCTATCGATATAATATTTTTTTTATTCCTATTGAACATGTAAATTATAGGGAGCAGCAGCATTAGCCCATAGAATCAGTCAAATGCGCCACTCACACATACAGAGTAGTATTTAGGAATTTGTTACTGTGCTAGAGGCAACAAAAACTGCCCAATTGTAAATTTTTAAATAAAATTAACTTTAAAAATTTTAATTTAATTTGTGTATTGTGATTTGTCACTTAAACAATCCTTTAATTTTAATATCATGATTATTAATGCGGTGGAGGTCAGATCACTTTCGGCGATATTCCCTACGACTCAGGAATTTATTCGCTTATAATATGAAAATACATATTATAAATTATGGAAAAAAATAACAATTTTATATTTATCAATATTATCAATGTAAATAAGTCCAAGAGTTATGATAAGATTAAGACAATGGTCAAAAAAATAAAATTATATCCTCCCCTGTATAGGCCACTCGCACACACACACAATCACACACACAATATGTATGTATTATGATATATTTATTTACACTAGTTTGGTGAGTGTGCAGTAAAGGGTAGGTCATGACGCATGGGAAATTACATTATTCTTCCTCGCGCCACTTAAGCACGCGGCCTCCACTCTGTATACCTAGGTACAATCGACGTGTACAATATCTGCGTCGATGATAACGATGACGATATATCGTATGTGTTACGAGTTGGCCCACATTAGCCCCAAAGCGCACGTTTAATGATATAAGTATAATAATATATGATTATACATATTATATATAAGCATATACCTGATACTCGACGATATCGTTACCGCGACACCACGGTTGTGCTGCTGGGATTTTGGCTATATTCAGCCGAATCTGTAGCAAGGCGGCGGTCGTGTACGTAGGTCGATCCGTTGGACACTGGTACAGTGGTACACAGAGTGAGGGGCTGTAGCTAGGGAGGCTAATATGTGGGTGTGCGGAGCGCATAGCGTACAACCCTTCTGGCCATACATCTCCGGCCCACTCGACCACCGTCACCCATCCACCACGGGGTAACTATACATTTTACCTATATAGGTCGCACTGGTACACCGTACCAGATCTAAATCATATTACTCGCGATGTAATATATAGATGCGCGAAACTTGCGTATGGAGAGAGAGAGAGAGAGAGAGAGAGAGAGAGAGAGAGAGAGAGAGAGAGTAGAGTAAGAAACGGGTGACGGGTGGTGGTGGGAGGATGGGTCGAAGTAAATGCGTACAAATAATATAAAAGCACACTGTCGCGGTGTTGGGTGCTTCTGGTGGTAGCGGTGTACACATCGTACGGTTATGAAACAGCAGCAGCAGCAGCAGCAGCACTGGCGTGGACCGCTGTTACACCGACACAGGGTTTTGGGGTGGTGTAGCATATACTACGGTGCAGGACTCGACGACCGAGCAGCGGTGGTGGCGGTGTAACGGTGTATGGGCGTGTAAACTCCGGCCATCATCTCTCCCGAAATCGATTTGACCTGTAGCGCCGTGACTCTATTTTCGATTTCACCGGCTCCCGGCTTTTTTAGGCTAAACACGCCCCGGAACACGATATATACACCTAGCTACTATACTACATACACACTCGCACTTTAGGTGTGTAAGACCTAAACTGCACACACACACACACACACACACACACACACGCGCGCACACACACACGCACGCGCACTTATAAATAAATGTATATATACGCGTTGTTCGACTTACGTCGCGGTCGGCGGCGACCCGAAAGAGGTGTACGCCGATCCATACATTGTACACATATACAATATAATATGATATCCTACGCGAATATAAGCTTCGGTAGCAGTTTTTTGTCGGCGTACATACGACAGTCGAGTCATCATTTTCTTTCCAATTTTCGCCCCCGGCGTTCTAGTATTCATGCCGCAGTTTTCGATTGCCGTCCCTACAGTTTTCATCTGGTGTTCAAGACAATAATATTTTTAATCAATATTGTAAAATAAACTATAGTTAAAAGTGTTCAATTACAGATCCGGATACTTATTTAATACCTTATAACAGCTATTTGGCAGAAAAGAATTCTAGTAAAAAATACGGACACATTAAAAAAGTATTTACAAATATTGAATAAGTACATACACATTCAACATTTTTCAACTTTTATTAGTACATAATGTTTTTGTTTAATCTTAAAAATGAACAGAATCAAATTTTTCAGAATTTTTCATATTTAAACAATGTCCGAGTACTTTTTCAAAACACTAAAAGCACTTATTTGAATACTTCAACTAAAGTATTTTGAAAAATTGTGTAGAATATACGTAACATATATGTACAATTGCTTAAATTACAAAAAACCAAACGAAAACACTGGGCACACGTTTTCATGGTCAGCAATGCGCATTTTATAGAGTTGAAACATAGGACTTGACGATACTTGATTTTACGATTGTTTTATCAGCTTGAGTCGTACCATCTCGTGGTATACAATTTAAAATGTGCAATATATTTCTTATATTTACTATTATATGAACACACAAACACACCCACACACCACTGCAGCTACTTCAGGAACGTATATAATATTATATTAC